GCTACTCTATAACTGTAATTTTGCTACTGTTATGAATCGTAATGTAAATACCTTTTTGTTTTCCGATGGTCTTAGGTGACCCCTGTGAAAGGGTCGTTTGACCCCCAAAGGGGTCGCGGACCCACAGGTTGAGAACCGCTGCTCTAGTACTTCCAAAAGTGAACTAGTTCCATCTGTTGCAAACATGCATCATGACTTTTCCAACAACCCAATAAATACAACTCTTCTTTTCGCAGTGATTACACACCATTGTCATCAATCAGATAAGAACACAAATCAGGAGAGAACTTTGAGCTCCCTAGTAAATACTTCATGAAGCCAATGTGAGCTTGCCGACTAGGCTGTCATCTCTGCAGGAGATACATTTCCAGGAGTAACTGGATTGTACAGTACTTAGCACACAGGGCCCCTCAGGATGGGATGATAAACGTCTGTGTACAAGAAGAGACAATTCTGAAGAAACTGCAACTAAGCTGATTAACAACTGATTCTTCAAATCAGGGCCAGGAAATGATGGCTCCTGGGCCAAATCTGGCCCTCGGCCTCATTTTGCACAGCGCATGAGCTAAAAATGGTTTTTACATTTAAATGAGTTTTTAAAATCAAAAGTAGAATGGCATTTCATGTTATGTGAAAATTCTATGAAAGACAAATTTCCTGTCCCTAAATAACGTTGCATTGAAACACAGTATGCTCATTCATTTACATACCGTCTACAGCTGCTTTTGCACTCAAAGGGCAAAGTTGAGTCGTTGTGACAGAAAATATTTACCGTCTGACTCTATAGAAAACGTTTGCTCAGCCCTGCTTTAGATTCAGGTAGAAGTTATTGGCATGCGTGTCTGTTTGCTTAAAGGATAATGCTTTTCTGTTAGAAATATACCTACCCGTAGACGTGGCCATCAGAGAAGTTATATTCTTCCACTTTCTTCGCTTCCTTCCCAAAGTCAGAAAAAAGTTATTGTGTAAGAAAAATTAGATCATCAGGAGGGACTTTGAGTAACATCACGGTAAAAAATGGAAAAGCCCTCCATATTCCCTCCAAAAGTTATGGATCATAATCTAATTTGAAGTGCTTAAATAACATTAGTATTGTTCCTATATTCTAAAATGTGTAGTTATTTCCTCTTTGTGTCTTTGAAATCTTTTGAAAGGCAAAAACCTTTTCTTCTGTGGCTTTTACAAAACACAGTGTCATATCAAAGGGCCTCTTTGCTCACTGGTATTATTATATTGAACGGTTTTATTTGGTTTTCACTTGTATTAGGCTGTCAATAGGATGTGACGAACAATTGGATAATAGGAAATACCTTTTAGTAGAATTTCAAAATCTTGATATGGTATCCTGCTCATTGGCTGTGATAGTTGAATTAATGAATATTTATGGCTGTCATTGACCCTCGTAACTATCATAACTTACATGAAAAATGAATTAATATAAAAGCCATCCTACTACCAGTAAAAAAGATGTTAACAACAGCACCACAAAGTATTATAGAATTGAAACTACGACTGATTTTGATTCAAAATCCCTATTGTGTCTATGACTGACTTCAGCTGTTCCCTCTTGTTTTGTTCTGTTTCAGAGGTTGAAGGCCGCACTGACTCACCACCCTGCTGCCATGTCAAATGGGAATATGAACACCATGGGACACATGATGGAAATGATGGGCTCCCGGCAGGACCAGACGCCACACCATCACATGCACTCTCACCCGCATCAGCACCAGACACTGCCAGCCCATCACCCCTACCCACACCAGCACCAGCACCCGGCACACCATCCTCATCCTCAGCCCCATCACCAGCAGAACCATCCACATCATCACTCCCACTCCCACCTCCATGCACACCCGGCACATCACCAGACCTCGCCACACCCACCCCTGCACTCCGGCAACCAAGCACAGGTAGACCTTTTCATGATCTCTTTCCGCTTCTTAACAGTGCAAGTTCTAATGGGAAGTTCATTGGCAGCTACCTTGTTTGACAAGCTCAGGGGTTCTATGTGACACTCTGGGGAACTTTTCATTTCCTAGGATGTAATGGTTACCCATAAGTTCCTACCATATCATAGTTTCTCTAAATAACATGGTAAACTTCAGGTCTAGTCTCCAGGGGCAATCGGAAACATCAAGTCCTCCAGAATCTATTTTTGCGGTGTGTTACAAAGTTAACACTAAAAAAAGACACACCAATGGCAGAATTAGGAAGAATGTAAGCATGTGAAGGACAATGTGAATGAAGGATGAGAAAAATAGGTTAATTCTAACTCTGGTTCTAGCTACGGTGCTTTATAACGTCACAGAGACTCAATTTTGTCTCCTGTAAAATGGAAGTTAAATATAATGGGCAGTCTTCTAAGCAGTATTAAATGTTCAAAGATATAAAGAGTAACAATTCCAGGCAGACAAAGAGGCTTGGTAATGGATGTCAGGGCATAAGGTGCTATGTAAATGGTGAAGAGAGGTGACTCATCCCACCCAATGTGAAATGCGTTGGAGGGAGCAGACAGAGAGCCAAGCTCTGTAGATGATCAGCTCTAGAGAAGGGCCAAATCCCAGGGGTGGAGAGTCACCAGGAGTGGCGAGAAAGAAAGCCAGCATTTAGACTCAACTGAAAGAGGGTTGGGGGATCAGGCAGACGTTATGTCACCCAGCCCAAGTAGAGAGGCGGGTCCGTGTACCCAGTGAATTTTAGTAAGTGGATGAAGGGCATGTCTTGGAGCATGGCTGGCCCTAGACATTTTGGATCTTCAAGCAGGATGACCTTTGTCAGCCCCCTCCACCCATTCCACACTGCCAGCTTCCAACCAGCTGGGTCAGCATGGTGTCCGGAGCTCGGAACCGCCAAAAAACACTTATTCATTGTCGGCCTCAGGACCTCACACTAGGCAGCTTCTTGAGCTCTTGAACCCCCTTCCCTAACATACAACAAACCCAGACAGCCATCCACAAAATGGGTCACCCACAAGCAACTCTCAGTATATAAGCTATTCAGTAGGTAAGCTTATTTGTTAGATAAGCTTACTTTTGTAAAGGTTCTTAGAGGTTCTATATAGCAAATAAGAGTGCAGGCTTTGGGTAGAGAAAATTTTCATTCTTTTCCCACCCTACTTCCTACTGTGCTACTGTGGTCAGATTAACCTCCCTGAGCCTCAGTTTTCCCATCTGCAACATGGGGTAATAATAGACTAAGCTCATAGATTCTTAAGAGCATTAAGTAAGCAAATGTCTGGAAAGCCCTTGGCACAGTTTTCAATACATGTCAGCCATGATTAATTCTAAACCGAAGTAATACGATAGATTTTTAGCAAGTAATATAGCAATAAGATGTTATCCAAAGCACCTTTTTAGTCAAATGCCATAGTGGGGCATTTATTTCAAGGGGTGAAAGAAAACTACAAGGTCAAAGATAGACAAGTAGACTTCATATGTGTACTTATTTTTTAAGGAAAATGATAACATCAAATTTTGGATGTCTTTGTGTGCAAGTTTCTTCACAGACAAGTTTAACAGTTTGTTGACTATAAAAGCCATTAATTAACTAATTACCAGTTAGCCAATTGCCCTCCATTTCATGTCAGTAAGTGGCCAATTGTATATGCAATTAATTCATTGCTATTATAATTATCTGCACAAACAGTTGCTTTTTCACCCTATACTAAAAAGAAAGAAACCCGGTTGGTCTTCTTAAAATTTGAACAAGATAAAAGTGCCACTCTTAGATTGTATTAACTTGTCTGATTACTGAGATCTTGCCATGCTGCTTAATTGTATGAGCATCAGGATAATAGAAATAGAAGTTTGTTAAGGTCCTTCCAACTCTGAGATTCTAAGGTGATTTAGAATAACTTCTGTCTTTTTGAAATCACTATAAATTCTTTTTGGTCAAATTTTTCAGAGTGTCCATGCCCACAGAATTCCATTTAAAAAAACTAAAACGATAAGGAACAATAATGTCCAGGGTCACAAATTCTGGTCTCAGAGTTGTGTTTGCAATTTCTCCTGGCTCCTTGTGATTCTCTGGCATAGAAGGATGTGATTTCAGAGTCCTGGTATCAGTCCTAAGTCAGCAGGAATTTCTCTTAACCATACCACACCTTGACCCCTGGAAACTGGACTGAGTCTGAAACCACCACATAACTTACCCCGTTATGTGAAGGCACAGGAAAAGTGTCAGAGGATGACGGTTGCTTAAAGTTAGGGGAGAGAATACAATATTGAAAGAGAGGCCCCCTACCATGGAGATGACAACATAGTTTTGCCTCCTTGAGTGTCTTGTGTGAGGCTGACAACTGAGATCTCTAATTCACAATAAGAAATATAAAGGCAATAATAGCCAAGTGAGCGAGTTCCCTTATTGCTTTGCTTGCTGTGGCAGTTAGCTCCGAAGTTAGCATCCAAAAGGACAAGGGCTAAACTTTTGCCAGAAACAAGGATTACTGTGTCTTTGCAGCCACTCTGGTAAGACCTCAGACAATTTATTTCATTATTCCTCTGTGATGGGGAGGAAAGGAATCGCCAATAAAATGTTTTAGAAAATGTCTTTGCTTTAAGTAAAATGACTGAGATGCAGTCCAACCTCAGGCCCAAGCCTGATGCTTTTGCAGTTAGTCATATAAGGTTCAATAGAGTTTAGGATGAAAATATATCACCCACAGTCAGCTGATGTCAACCAGTAGCCATTATTAGCGCAATTACAGTCATTCTGATTGATTTCAATCACAGAGTTGGAATGCGGTAGAAAAGGTTGCTGGACTTCAGTTTTAAAACTTTCTGCCTGTTATTTCTGTAGGTTAAATGTCTCTTGTAAAACAACTTTATAGGTCTTACCGTCATAAGCTTAAGTGACTGAGGAATGAACAAGAGGGGAAAAAAGAAAAAAAACAACAACACCCTTTATTGAGAATGAAGAAAGGGGAAGGAGTGAAGTGCATTAGCAAAAGCATTAGGTGTCCAGACACATAAAGAATCAGTCGTAGAAATTTCACTAGGTGCTGTGTGTCTGCCTCAGGAAGGGAAATAAAACTGTATGTGTGGGGGGCTCCAAAACCTTAGATGCTGCTGAGCCCCATGCGAATCTTACAAGGAATCTATAAGCATAGCAAAACTTTTTAATAAAGTTCTTGGCCACTCCTAGGACGTCCTTATAATGTAAATAAATGGGGGAGCAGGACAGTCCCTCTGGATCGCACCCACATGGTGTATAACAGGGCTCAGTGCTACTTTGGGCATCGCTGCACACTTTGAGGGGCCCTGTTTCTCCATCACCTAGAAATGCCTCCTGTCACTCCCCGGCCTTAGCCAAAGCTCTGAGGAGCAGGCAGACCTATCTGGAGTTTGCAGATTCCGCTAGCCCTGTGCATTCAGAACTGTGAACGAGCGAGAATAGGATTCCAGCTGCTTTCAGGGCTTCATGGGGTTCTTTTGATGGCAGTCACAGTGGCACAGTGGCAACGGGTCTGGAGGTGTGTTCGAGGAACGTGGGTTTAACACCGTTAGAATGAGAGGAGCTCTCTACCTGCCCGAAGGAGTTTTCTGCAGATGACAGAAGACTCGTCAATATTGTGACAATAACCCTGACCTCTCTGTGTTCACCTGTGGCCATACATTGGCACTTTAACATTTTTAAAGGCACTGTAAATAAAACATTTTTAACTTCCGAAGGAGAAAACAATGTTTTCTCTGCCATGATTCAGCCGAATGCCTGTAGGGGGAAAATCTATTTGATTCTTTTCACAAGTCATTCCCATATCTTGCCAAAATATCACAGAAGATAGCTCAGCGGATGCTTTTTTCTTGTCCTGAGCATGATTTCATTGTTGACTTCATTCTTAGAAAGCGAGTTTGATAGGCTTAGTAAAGCAATGGCGTCCTCTGTGCTTTGCGCTTCAACGCTGGCTTGGGTTTCTCCCCTACCCTCCCTGTTCCTTCCCTATCCCGTCATCCCCTCCCTCTCATTTCCAGCAGGTTTCACCAGCCACACAACAGATGCAGCCAACCCAGACGATACAGCCACCCCAGCCCACAGGGGGGCGCCGGCGAAGGGTGCTGGATGAAGATCCCGATGAGAGGAGGCGGAAATTTCTGGAAAGGAACCGAGCAGCCGCCACCCGCTGCAGACAGAAGAGGAAGGTCTGGGTGATGTCACTGGAAAAGAAAGCTGAAGAACTCACCCAGACAAACATGCAGCTTCAGGTGCAGGCCGCTGCCTTTTTCCTCAGGACTCAAACGCCCTGTGTACAGTTGGCATTTCCTGTCCCAGCAGGAACTTGTTGACCTAAGCAGTCATACCGCACATTTCGTCCACAGAGCAACTGCAGGCTTATTCCTGCAGCTTTTTTTTTTTCATTCCGGGACACTCTACAAAACAAAATAAACCTTTCAGGTTTCCATCCATCTCCCTAAAAGCTGTTGAGGAGGGAGAACCTGCCCACCAATTCAGTTATAGGCTGGGAGCACAGGCTTGGGTCAGACAGAGGTTCAAATTCTGGTTCCGCAATTACTTGTTGTGTTTGCCGTCTCTGGCCCCGCTTTTCCTCATCTATAAAATGGGAATAATAACCTCAGAGTTGTTGGGAGGAATAAATGAACTCATCTGGACAAAAGCAGCTTGCCCAGCGCCCTGCACATAATACATTTTCAACTGAAAGGCAGCTCTTTATATTCACTGGGTGAGGGGCTGCTTCAGCTTATACTAGATTATCTATACAGTAAAACCTCGGATTGCGAGTAACGTGGTTTGCGAGTGCTCCGCAAGATGAACCAACGTTTCTAAGACATTTTAATGTGGTAAATGAGCAATGTCTTACAATACGAGTCATTTGTTTCCGGAACAAATTATGCTCACAAACCAAGGTATTACTGTATTTTTGTTGAATGGGGGAAAGGGAGGTTTATGTTTATAATTTTTCTCTGTAAGGAAAGGCACATTTCTATCTCATGTTAAACTTGACGAGATTTGAAACTTGCATGATTTTTTGCATTACATTGCAAAATTGGTGGCTCAACTGGGGACATTTTATATTTTACAAAATGTCTAGGAGTGCTTGAGAGAAGGGGAGGAAACTCCAGAACCTGGGGGCTTCATCAGCAGACTTCATGTGGCTCAGGACATTTGTTCTAACACAAAAAAAGAGGGCACTGTTCACCAGGAGGAGAAGAAAACTCAACTAAATAGATATGTGACAAGCAGTTCAGGAATAGCAGTAAGAGTTGTGGATTGCAGCCCCCAGAGAGAATGACTAAAGAGTGGAGGGAAGGGGAGAAAGACTGCCCCAAATAGGGAGACTGTTCCTCAGTAGTTCATAGGTCACCTTCACTTTCCCTCACCTGGTTCTCTGTGCATCCTTAGAAAGGAGCAGTTAGAGTCCCAAACCTCCAGAGCCTTTGCATATTCAATTCCAGTAAGTGGAAATGGCTTTGGGGCATCCAATGTACAAATTGAAAATACACAAAGAAAGTTTGGGTTATACATGGACTGAAGAGCATCATTTATGGATGTTCACTTTTCCCCCTAAATTTATCATTCTTTTTGCGATAGACCTGAGAAAGACACTGGGAAGCATACATAGCAGGTTTGGGAGAAATAAGATAATAATTCTTCTCGCTAACTTATATGCTACATGAAGGTGGGGCTGTGTCTCAACACCCTCTCCCACCACTACCTACCCCCTATTTCTAGCATAGTGTCTAGCTAGCCTGGTGAGTTCCCAAGTAGCTACACTCAATATCCGTTTGTCGAATAAATGAATGAGTTCCCCATTCGGAAGTGTCCAAGAACTGGCTCCCTGTCCACTTGGCAAGAATGTGTTTGAAGGGAGTCAAGCCACAGTGAGATGGCTGGACTCAAACACCTCGAAAGCCACTCCAACTTGAAAAGTCTATAATCCTAGAATCAGGCAGGCACAGTAGTATGTGAGAAGCTTTTAGGTAGAACTTGGATAAACACTTTTAATATTCGTAGCAATCATTTTTCTTCTGAGGTCTGCAAGAGGGCCATAAAAATGTGCAAGTTTTAGCAATCTTGGCACTATTGACTTTTGGACTCAACAGTTCTTTGTTGTAGCCTGCTCACTGTGGATTTGTAGCAGTATCCTTGATCTCTACCCATTAGATATCAGTAGCACCCTCTACCCCAACCCCAAGTGGTGACAACCAAAAAGTCTCCAGATACTGCCAAATGCCCTCTGTGGGGACAGAATCATCCCCGGTTGAAAACCACTGCCTTAGATGAAGGAGCCAGCTGGCATGTATCAGGTGCCAACAAATGTTTCAACGAAAACGAGTCCCTGCAGAATTATTCCAGCGTATTGACTATGTATGGTTCTAGAACATGAAAACATGGAAGGGTCACAGCAAGGAGCCAGGAAAAGTAAAGACGCTGCATGGCTTCCAGGTCAGATGTGTTCATGACTTAGCATATGCATATATGTTATCACTGTTACAAAACACGTGAGGTACATTTACCCTTTATGAGGCCCCAATCCATTCATGTTCTGAGAGCCAAATAGCTAGCGAAAAGAGATACTAGACTTCTAGCCCCCCGAAAACCAGAAAAAAAAATCCTATCGAGCCCTTCAACAGGCACCTATAGTTTTGGTTGGCAAAGCAGTGCCCGAGGAAGGGGCAGTCTCCGAAAAGACTAGATTGTTGATGTTTTGCAACCACCGCTTTGCCTCGGAGGGACAGAAACCACAGCTGTTCCAAGTTTTCTGTAATGCCGAGCTCACTGCATTGCGCCCTGCTGTGCTGGATAGGAGATGCCGGTTCTGCCACCTTCGAATGACCCTTTCCCTCTCACTGGACCTTTGTCAGAAGAAAAAGGTGTCTCTCTGGAGGCTGGTTCAGTGAGCCAAATTTTAAGTAAACAGAAATTGAAGGTGCTAAGCAAACAAACTCCAGCCAAATGGAATATCCAAGGTCTGGATGGCTAGCTGCCACTTTTGAGTTGTTTTCCAGCATAGAACCTTCTAGTGAGGCTGCAGCGTTTCAGATTGGAAAAATCAGACATAAGAAAACAAAATCAAATTCCCAGACTTCATTTCCTCGTCTCATAACAAATCTCTACCCAAGAGGTCAGCACAGGTATAGGAACTGGGGGAGATAGAAGGAGTAACCCCATCTGGCATTTCACATAGAAACTGAAGCTCGGGGGACATGAAGAGACCTTCCCAAATGTCACACGACCCGCGAGTAGCAGGATGAGGACCCAAGCAAGCCTGCTCTTAACCGTCTTACTCTGTGCTCTTTCATTCTAGAAAGTTCTTAAACTAGAGGAATCCACATTTTTTTCTCTGACAGAATAGCTAAGATCAGCTCTAAATTCGTCAACTGCTGATGTGGGGTTCAGTGAGTGGATTGTTTGTGCTCAATAGATGATATGGAAATCATCTGGTCACCCACAGAAATAATTGCTTTTCTTTTTTAGTACAAAGACACATGGCCTAAGTCGCTGCTGAAATTTTAGACACATGAGCCCAGGTTTGGGACTTGGCAAGAGAATAGGCCAGATGGGAACTGTTGCTTGACAAATTGAAAGTCTTTTGTTTTAGAATGAACCAAACCAGCTAATCTACAAAAAGAAGTGGGGGAGGGGCTATAGTGCAGGGCCCATTTTGAGGGTTTTTTTTGTGTTTTTTTTTTTTGGCACAGACTACTGCTTGCAGCAAAAAGCCTTCTGGGTTTATTAACAACATGACATCTCCAAAACCAAAACCTGCAAATGTAGCTTTGAGGGACTTCTTGGAGTGCTTATTTAAACTGTTATTGTAGTATTGCATGCCTCTATAGGGGGCGCTATTTCATCCCAAGGCAATCTTATGGGTTTAAGAACAGATGAATCTGATGGCGTATGTTCTTACAGTCTGTATTTAAATGGCTAACTGCTTTAGGGAAGCAAACCCAAACCATCGAGAAACATGAAGGGCTGATTTCATCAGGAGAATCAATACTGATTATTATTAATACTTTGCTTTCTTCAAGTACTTTTATAGGAAGGCCTAGAACTGTTATTATACCCTACATGGGGGAGTGCAAAAATTGGTGATTTGCCTCAATTCATAAAGCAAGGTGATTCAGAGTAAGAAAATGCTTCCAGAAGTCCTGGTTTTTATTCTCCCACTAGAGCTGCAGGCCACATTTGATTTCTTTCATGCATTTTGAAACATTTGCTATCTGGTTGTTCTCTTCCAAAATGAATTCAAGGTGATTCTACTTATGTTACCTTGAAAAGGATTTTTATTTAAAATATAGTCTGGTATTTGTGCATTTACTACATCAGTCAGTCTATCAGTATGGAATCTTGAAGATGGTTATGCATGTGCACAGCACACAATTCCCTTTGCTTTTTCCAGGCCAGCAATTCTTGACATTTCTTACCCCAAAGGCTCCCATGTGGAATCTGATGAAGACTCTATACCCTTTCAACAATATAGACACACACACGGATGCAACGTTTTGTGCTAAAACAAAACTATAAATGTTGCTTTGGCATCTGCCCTGAAAAGATTTGGAAGCACGGGAAGTGCTAAAACTGGCTCCCTTAGGAAATACGAGGCTTGAAATACGAGCATATCTGAGAATACCAAAAGTAGTTAACGAGTGAATAAAAAAAATCAAGATTGAGTCCTTCCTTAGATTAAGTAATTAACTTTCTCAATAGAAGGGAACAGAGAGACACTCAGCATAAAAGACGATCTTGCTGGAAGGAATGAGAGAACTAGTCCAGCCATCTTGCTTTACACTAGGTTGGCGAGGCAGCTTGGGAAGCCACACCCTGTTATGCTCAGCCCTCAACTGAGAGTTCTTTTTTTCCGCTGGAAACTTGCCCCATGAATTTCTGTTGCTTCTGTGGCCATTAGACTTGTATTTAGCCCTTATCAGCATCATATTTTTGTGTGTATGAGCGAAACAAGAGGCTGATTGTTTTTCTCTATGGAAAATACGAATTGGCACTCATTTTCCAACTATAACATGGCTAAAAAACATACTTAATAACACATTACATTAAAGAATATGTCCGTTTTGACATATAGCTTTAAATGATGGTCGGTTGTCACAGCACTATTCAGGTTCCTGCAGTTTTATAGATCCTCACCACTTCAAGGGCCTCAGTTCCCATACTTACAATGTATTGATTTATTTTTTAAAAATGCTTTGTTATCCACACACAAAAATGCCATTGAAGTCCTCTATTTTAAATGGGACTTTGGTTATAGGCTGGGATACCACCTATGCTGCTCATAGTAGTGATTGGTGGAGTTTTATTGTGGCCCCTCATGGAAGCAAAGTTGATTGTGAAACAGTTTGGGGTGTGCCAAGTATTGTGGGCAGTTAGTGCCTTGCAATTGTAGAAACCCAAAGAACGGAATTCCAAGTGTTTTCTTAAGGAAGGGGCAAAGAACACTTTGTGCCTGGGAAATCGAACACTGCCTAGAAAAGGTGACTGCCCAGGACATAGCAAGGGAAGAAGTGGAGACTAAAATCAACTTTTCCAAGACAACCACAAAGTGGAATTTTTTTCTTTCTTCCAGAAGTGGAAGAAAGCAAAAGAATCCTGTTGTTTTGTTCTGCTTGAGATATTTCCCTGATTTATTGTATCCTGGGTCACAGAAGGAAAGGGTGGCTGGATTCATTAAAAATTGGTGCTTGACTCCATTTTCTAAGCACCGTTGTCTACATAACCTGCAGCTGACTTTCTCCTTAGGTGACAGGTGTCTAGCAGTTTTCATTTCAGAAAAGTGTCATTTCTGTAGTCCAAATGCAAAAAACATGACATTTCATTTTGAGGCCCAAAATATTTATATTCACACATCTTAGTTTCCTTTTTCTCCTTTTCTTTTTAACCAGGGTTGCATTCTATACAATGGTCTAACAGTAACTTTTTTTTTTTTTTTACACATGCTATTTTAAGCTGAGGGGGAGCTGGGGAAAAAGCAAGGAAGGCTGTCTGAATTTAAATGGTCATAAAATCAGAGAGGAAAGAATTAGTGTTTAAGGCTAAAATAAATTGTCCTATAAATAAAGTCGTCCCACTGACCCCAGAGTTGACAAGGGTCATGTTTGGCTTTGTTAGGGCCCCTATCAACCACACTCATTTGGAGGTGGAGGGTACAATTTGTTTTCCTGAATGTTCTCAGATTTAAGAGCAATTTTCCTGTGCGATTAGTGATTTATTTATTATTAATGCTAATTTCTCAGATAGGTCTTTCTTAGTTTGTAGAGTTTGGAGAAAAAAGAAAAAAGCTTTGGAGATGACATTTTAAAAATTATTTTCTTGTTTATGTTACTCAACATTTGATTGCTTATAATGTATTTTGCAAATGAATAGAGAAATAGGAGGTATTCCCTAAAACAATTTTCAAAAACAATTTTTTAATTAACTTCTAGAATCCCAAACTTACTTTTCTAGGTGATAAATACATGTAAAAAAAAGCCAAGTTCATATTGAAAGTGTAGATACAACTTACTGACAGCAATGTTAAAACACCCTTTCTGTGTGTGTGTTTCTTTAAAGCCTCCTGCATGTGGAATAGAATACCTGGCAGCCACAAATGAACGGAGGCCAGAGAGAGGGTGTTATGTATCATGACTGTAAAATGGCTTATTGGAGATAGTGCTGTGTTTATAGTTTACTTTTATCAAGTGGAAGCACCTTGGAACCAGCCATCTATTCTACGTTTATACTTGTAGACAATGGTGCCAAGTACATTATTCTACAAAGCCATGAACCTGTCTTTGTGAATTATTGCATAAAGTGGAGATTTCAGGCACTTAAGTAAATAAGAAAAACACACACACAATTCACAACACCCTGGTATTGAGGGGGAAAAGCGATTATAGACTGAAGTTAGCCAAACTAGTTAATAAACCCATCAAATTAATTCAATCACGGCCCCAACTCCATGGCCCCATGCCTCCCTGGGCTGACCACATCCCATCAGCAGAGGAGCAACATTTGTGCCATATGCTTCCATGCCTTCTGCTTGGTGGGTATGAGGTATGGGGACATGCTCTGTTAAACTCTAGCCCATTTGGAACTTTTGGGAAATCTGATGGTAGATTAGTCAGCTTATTTGGAGGGCATTTCAGTTTGAAGCCTCACAATTTTTCCCAATGCCTCCCATTCACCTTCACGTATTGAAAGTCAACCTGAGCTTGTAAGACAATGTGAAAATTATAACTATCATAGCGAAATAGAATTGAGAGTTGAGTATGTGCTAGGCATTGTTCTGAGTGTCTTTACATCTATTACCTCATTTAATCCTCACAACAACTGAAACAACTTTGTGCTGTTTTTATCCCCAACTTACAAGCAAAGTTGCTGGCGCTCTCAGCGGGGTTATGTTACCTGCCTAGAGTCATCCAGTAAGCATAGAGGGGAGGTTCCCGCCCAAGTAACCTGGCTTCAGAGTCTACCACCTAAAGGGTGTGCTCTTAATAGGATTCAGCTCTTGAGTCAAAATTTGATCTCTTTAGAAAGCCCCTGGTAAACGTGAGGGCCAAATGGAAGGCAGGCTACACATTTTCAGGTGACTCCTGTTAAATAATATTCTTAATGGCATTTGGATACAACAGAAAAGTTTGCCAGTACCATTGTTAAAAGCGCATGAGGCCATAGGTTTGTACTCACTGGTCTTCTCAACAAGGCTTTGATGTGTCTCTTTCCAGAATGAAGTATCCATGTTGAAAAACGAGGTGGCACAGCTGAAACAGTTATTGTTAACACATAAAGACTGCCCAATAACAGCCATGCAGAAAGAATCGCAAGGATATTTAAGTAAGTCATTGATGTGTTTTGCTTTTCTGAGTGTCCAATTTTTTTGCCATGAATTTTGCATTGGATTTTAATGAAAGAGCAAAAGCAAAGTGTAGATGGCACATCCAGGCAGATACCATACTAGAATTCTGGATGGTTGCCAGACTATTCCATGGGGGGGAATCCTTTTTTTTTTTTTTTGACCCTTATCCATCACCGTGCCCACCACCTCCTGATCATTCCTGCTAGACTTCCACTGGCGTTTCACTTTATAAAATCCTAGCAAATTCCAATTCTGCAGCCAGTAGGAAAAATGCCCGCTGGAGACAAGTTACCAGTGGGCTAGCAAGAAATCCATGGGCTGGGAAACAGGCTTGGGGTGAATCACTTCCAGTGCCTCTGAGATATGCTGGGTATTATTCACTGGGCTGAAAAGCTAGTGACCTTGTCTCCGTTTATCAGTACGTAAAGTGGATCCCTTTTTCTAGACCCCAGTATCTGCACCTGGAATGGCAATAGATTGGTGGATTGCTAGTTGAGTAGGGGTTGGTGGGAGGAGCAGGGATTCATGGCTGAAGGTCAATTTATTTTCAAATAATTTTTTAGATTGAGCAACACAGATTCTCCCACCACATGTGAGTATTTTTCCACATTTGATATATGGATGGCTATTGGAAAAGACAAGATGGGGACCTTCACACACCAAGACTCGAACACATCAAATCATTTTGCTCATGTAGAAAGCATGGCTTTGCTTGTAGCTGTAAACTGGGAAGGCATAGCTTTGTGACTACAGTTTAAAGTTGTGAAATTAACCCCCAGGAGAAAAATGTGTGAAACTCTTCTATTTCTAGTAAACGGCTAGTAATATGTTTCTGAGTCATCCACACATCCAACCAAGAAAGAGCTATATCGGTGTGTTTCTTCCTAGGTCCGGAGAGCAGCCCTCCTGCCAGCCCTGTGTCCGCCTGCTCTCAGCAGCAGGTTATCCAGCATAACACCATCACTACGTCCTCGGCGGTCAGCGAGGTCGTAGGAAGCTCCACCCTCAGCCAGCTCACCACTCACAGAACAGACCTGAATCCGATTCTTTAAAAATCAAGGGTTAGACCTTGCCTCCAAGAAGAGTTGCCGCATACCATGCGTCCTTTCTTTTAAGGGCATTTTTAGAATTAACCTAAACCCGGAAAACTTCTTAATTTTTTAAAGGCCGGCTTTTATTTTTAAAAGTATTTTTGGAAAGTTTGCTTTTTATCTTAATTTAATAAAAAAAAAAAGGGAGTTATGCAATTAATATCTATCAGCTTGGGAAATGCTTTGGTGCTTTTCTCCAATTTTCTGGTACCAGTTCCTTGTTTATAAACTGAACTCTTTCTGTATATAGTCATGGTTTCATTCTTATCAGTCCAACCCTTTGCCTGAGACATTAAATCTTGTTAAACCGCAGCTTTTAGTCAAAATGAGGCATACTTAGATGTCAACAGATGCAAGGGAACTGGGAAAGAAGTCTGATGACATCATAACACATGTTAAATTTGTGCTGTGATGTCACCAGAATCCCAGATGAACACAGAGCCTTTTCCACAACTTTTTTTATTTTACTACAAAAAAGTGATAAAATCCATTGATATCGAAATACAACCACCAGACATCTCACCACCTGTCCTGCTCCTCTCGGTCCACTTCCTCGAATACCCAATTTTCCTCTCCATTTCCACTCTTTCTTGGGCTCCCTGTCTACTCTTCATTTACTTTCTTCTGTTTTACTTTTCCCCCTTTAGCATTGCATGTAAAGAAGAAAATAATGTTGAAAGAAAAAAAAAAAAGCCTCAGAAATGTGGACCTAGCCAGTGCTTCTCTCACCCTCAACCCAGAGCTGGAGTTCATTCAACTCTTGTGTTTTACAAAATAGTAACCAGGAGATGTTTAATGTGCCTGATTTAATGTTTTTAATCGTCAGAGCAAATAAAAGGTGGCTTAGCCATAGGGGAAGCCAGCTGTGGAGACACTCGGGAAGGGAGCTTTGTAAGCCTCGTGAAAGTCCAAATCATGATGCAAGGTTATAACATCACACCCTCGAATTACAACCAGTTTAAAATGGCCTGTCTATGTCAGAAACCCACGTACTATATGATAATTCAGAAAGGCTCTATTCACTACACAATTCCATGGTTCAATCATCTGCTGCTAATAGCCTAAGATTTATTGTTACTTTTTTTTTTCTTAAGCCTATGGAACCAGCTTTGCTGTTCTGGTGGGTAAAAGTAGGCAAACTACCAGAGGAACAAAGAGAGAAAGAAAACCGAATGTTCCAATGGGGTGCTTTCAGCCCTCTTACGACAGCTAAAGCACTCTTTGGCTGCTGAAAGGACCCCATGAATATGGCTACTCCACTCTTCTGAATAATTCTGATTTACATTTTCAACGACTTTCATGGACTCGCCCATTATAAAAGACAGATAGTTCCAAACCACAGTTGTGCCTCCTTGAAACAAGCCATTCTACTGTGCTAATGTTTTAATATCACATCTCACAAATAACAGGGGCTAATGTTTCCCTCTAGCAGTCTAGACAGGTGCTGGTGTTTCATCTCCATTTGAATGCTTGACCTCCTAACGTGTGTGTGTGTGTGTGTGTGTGTGTGTGTGTGTTTTCATGGGATTTAAAAGACTAGTATTTTACAAAAGGTGTAGCTTTTATAAGAGTTCAGAAAAGGGAAGGATGTGGGTTTTTTTTTCTCTCACTATAGTATAAGAATCTATTTTGGAGAATAAAAAGAAAATATGAGGGTCATGAAGCATGATTTTTATAGCTAGTTTCAGTTTTATCTACTAACTTACTTTTTTTAAATCAATATTTATCAATCTTTTCATGTATGCAGTGCTTTCAAAAGAAAGTTTTGAGTATCCAGTGAAAAACTCATGACTTGGATATGTGGTCTAAAAATCAAAACTAAAGCAAAAACAAAACAAAAACAAAAAAAGAAAAAAAAAATGCAAACGAAAAGGATTTTCTATATTTTAGACAAACATATCATTTTTAAGTATTTTAAATACTGAATTCATAGTTGTTTTGTTTTGTTTTGTTTTGAATCCTAGCAGTAACAGCTGAATGGTTTAACCTAACTGGCTTCCTAAGAAATATTTAAGATTTAGTTAAACACGAAGTTAACATTCTTATCCCTATTTTGAAATGAAAAATAATTTTTTATAACTCCTACCTAGGACTATCTATGGGTCCCCCTGAAAAAGAAAAAGAGCTCATTGAAATGTTTATTTGTTTGGGTTTTTACATTATTTTATTTTTTGCTTTAAGTAAAAAAAAAAAATGTTTCTTTCTTTACTGTATGTGTAGCACTTAATGAAATGGATTTTTTAAAAATCCACTGGTAATACCAGAATGTCCGGGGAGTGGGTTGTCACTAAAATTATGGTTTTCTTTACTGCTGTTCCACCTCTTGATTGAAATATTTAGTTGGTAAACCCAAAGCCTCTGCAGTTAAGAACTTGCCTGAGTTTTCTTAATTCAGCAACTTGACAGTTTGACTGATGTGCATTATATATAGCTCAATTATGTCTGTTTTTTATGCTAAGTAGGCAAACCAACCACACACACGTTAGCAAACGGGCCTCAACATATAATTAGAATAAACTGTGTTCTTGTTATACTCAGGGCCTTTAGGTATGTTCATTAGCGGTATGGAAATACAGTAACTGGAAGATGCTGGCTCGTTAGTTATCACAGCTACCTGACATCCCAAGCTGAAAGGCTCGCTGGTCAGATACAACACTCGGCTGATCAATATGAAGTATGTCCCTGGAAGGCCCAGCCTTCTCCAGACCATGGAATAACCAGTCCTCCTTCATGCCTACACTTTTTGCCAATCTGGGAAAACATTTTCCTTCTACCCCGTTCTCCTCTCCCACTGAATGACTGAGTCGTCCCTCTTTAATGACCTTCAGAGCACCCAGTCTGAGGAACGCAGGGCTGTGTGGCACTGCCTCTTCTCATTCATGTTTGGTACTTTTTGTCGGTAGGATCTGTCTCCGAAGTCACTGCCAGCCCACCTGGAAATGTCTACAACACCTCCTCCCCTCCCTTATGTGACGGGAGTTAACGATGTAGATAGGTCTTCCTGATAGTGTTTCTATCAGGTGAATCCTCACCTACACTGAAGCATTCACATCTTCATTTTTTATTCTCAACGTAGGCCAGGACAGGTATAGGGAGAATCCTAGCCATGGCTGAAGACTCACGTTGAATTGGTGTCTTCCCTTTACACTCCCACTCAGCCTTCTACCTCTGCGTCAGTGTATGCAAGTCACGGTCTTAACCCAGCCTGTGGGAGACAGAGGAGCAGTGCGAGCTGTCACACTGCCTGCGTTGTGACAATGAGGGTGACTTCCTTGGAGCAAATGCTCTTTGGAGCCTATCCGGTCAATGAAATCAAATGCAACGCATGTTCTGATTCGAGGGGCGTCGATGGTGAATGTCAGGTGGTTGTTGCCTGTTTGCTGAGTAAATCGTAGTGTGTTAGTTGAGTTTGTCATTAAAATCTTCAACCAGCTTCGGTAAAAGACCAGACTTTGGCGGGGATAGGGGGTGTGAGGGTGGGGGTGGGTTAAGCATCACTAACTTCTATAAACTAGCCATCCAGTTAGGACAGACTGTGCGTCTCTCTGGTTAATGGAAACCATCTAAGAAAATATATATGTATGTATGTATGTATACAGTGGAATTCAAGGACCAAAGCAAAATTTGAACAGGAATCTATTAATTTAGAATTTTATAAGATATTTATTAATAAATGTTATTTTTAAACATTCCATTTGAACAGTATTCTTCTGTAGGAGCTACTTGTTTTTAAAGTATTAGTTCATAATAAACTGCTCTAGTTATGTGTGTATCTTCATTTTTCAGGGTTTCAAATGGCTGTTCTCCATCCTTTGGTGGCAATGTTTGCTTAGATCTCTGTGCATAGACATTTCAAGGATTTTTATTGCTCTGTGAGTTATTTTTTATTTGTGTTTTTAACAGTTTTCTTTTTTAAAATTCTATTTCTTGTTTCATGTTTAAAGTAATCTCTTTCCTTTAGGAAGCAGAGTTCAGCTAAAGGGAATCAGTAACTGGAACTAGAACAGCTTTCTTGTAAAAGTGTGAAAACAACTTCATCTCTGCTTCTTTTCACCCCACCCCAATTTCCTAGAATGCCTTGCACTATTCAGCTTCCTTAGTGCTCTTTTTGTCCCTTCTCAAACAATGTGCCGTAGCTTTAAGCCATTCCAGCTCCATTATGCAGTATATCTGAGAAGGAAAAGGAAATAACCCATTTAAATTTGAATAACGCCGTGCCTATGCGAACAGTAGCAATTTAGAACCTCTCTTCTGCTTGAAATAATTTATATTTTAAAATTGCACTTTAGCTTTTTTGATCCCTTTCTCGCCTTCTCTTTCGAACCTCCTCCCTGTCCTCAGCCTTCCCTCTCCCACACCCCCCACCCTTCCTCCGAGGCTCTGAGCTGCATCATTTAAAATACAGACTATTTGGTACATGTGCGTGCGTTCATTAGTAGCGTAGCAAAGACGTGTTTCTTACATCAGCCTAGTTGAAGCCTGCTACGAGAATGCCAACGAGAAGAGCCAGTTTATACTCTTTATCTCTTTATCCATAGCATGTGTTTTGAAAATGTTATATTATGCAACAGATGTGAGGCAGCAGCTAAGCTACACTTAAGAATTTTCTGTCTCACCCTTCAAACCAAAGTGTCCTGAATGAGCCAGGAGACTTATTCTTTTGTGCACCGTGGTGGCCATTGGGCTGTTGTCCTAGCCATAATCTCTCGGGGGCTGCTGAAATGACAGTGGCCCAATCTATTTCATTCCTAGGTCTCAAAACTACAACGTTGCCTTGTAACATAATTAGGGACAGCACCTATATTTTACAATTCCAATCTGAGAAAAGACAAGAAGACACTGAAGCAATAAACTCACAAGTAAAAATCCCATACCAAAACAAAGAAATAAAAGAAAAGAAAAAAAACAACCCTAGTGCATCATGTTGTGAAAATGAAAAAAAGTGTATGTCCATTCAAAATATTTTACTATTTCTTGTGGAGTTTTTCAGTGATGTAATGCTTATAGCCAAATTGCTTAAAGAGTGTTTATATATTTTTTTCCTTATAAATTGTCTATTTTTTAAAAAAAGACTATTTAATCACAAGTTGAAGAGGGGATAAGGCCAAATTGCCAGCATTTGTTAAAAGATTAGTATTCTTAAGTGGCAGCCTGATACCTTTCTAAGCTTATCATCAGAGGGGAATCCATCATTTTCAACTATTATATTTAGACCAACTTGCAATATCCAGCTCATTAGAGTCGGGATTTAGCAAGCTCCTCTTAAGCCATGTAAGACTTTCTTACATTGAATTTCATATTATAGAACTTTATAGAATTTTTTTAACAGAATCATGTTAGCCTCAGGACGGAGAATGTGGACAACCTGAATAAAGTAGCTTTAAATACATCCTTAAAATCTTACGCACAATAAGCTAACTAGACTCTAGTTTGCTCCTTTCGAAAACCAATGCTATAGACCCTACCGGACATAATGAAAGGTATCAGCAGTGCTAATGTGGAAGGGGCGTTCAGACAGTGGACCCTTCCCAACCAGCCAGCCAATCAAAAAGAAGTCCTACTTACCCTCTTTCCTTCTACCTTCTGCTGACTCACACCTGCCTCATAGAGGAGTTCTGCCTTTGAGGTTTGTCTTGGAGAAAAGATAAGCTTGAAATGTTCTCCCTGGAGAGGACATGGGGTTTGGGATCTTCTGGAAAGGCCCAGAAAAATGGCTCCGTTCAAACACAATAATATTCCAGGACAATTGGAATATAAATACTGTCCAAAAATAGAATGAAAAGAAAAAAAAAGTTTAGTATTGTATAAAGTAAGTGTTAACTAAAGAAGTCCCATAAAAGGTGCTGTCACTTTAAGTTCTAGACTGGGGGGTTGTTTGTAACTGTAAACAGCAAAGCATTTGTGTTTGTTTGTCTGTTTGTAAAGCAACCACCTTCCTTACTGGAAGGAGAAAAAAAATTGGGGGTACATACCTGTAAATATTTGCTGCAGCATTTAATATGTTTAATTTTATGTTAAGCTTTTTTGTTGCATCGTGAACATATTATTGTTATCAATGGACAATGAGTTCATTAAGACTGTTCAACTAGGTCAGATTTTTACATCTCTTTCTAGTAAGAAGAGACAAGATTTTGTGCATTTGTACAAATGTTAATAATATCACTGCAATTCCAATATAATAAAGCACTCAAATGCAAATAACATATGTAACTGTTGTATAATGAAACTTGGGTTTGGGGATAATGACATCTGTTCTACACACGGTCTCATTCAGCCATGTAAGCCAAGACTTATTCTTTCAGGGTCACCATTATCTAGGGACAAAAAAGGAGGTGAGATTTTCTCTTTCCTAGATCCATCGCTGCACTCCCCACTGCCTCTTCCACTAGTCTAACACATTCACAGTGGGTTGGCCACTCAACTAAACTTAACTTTGGGGTTAGTAGATTTTAACCGTCAAGAAATACAGCCAGCATGAATTCTTGTTCAAGTATATCTAGGAACCAAGAATCACATGTTGACCACTTAGGCAATCAAATCCTGGAGTTCTTTGACCTCCAGGAAGTCCTCAGGGTAGTCTTAGCCCTTTTATGCGTGTGCATTTCTAGATATCTCCCTACTTTCCTTTCTCTTCCTTTCTCTTCTTTATTCTTATAGAAAATTTCAGTCACTTTCCTCTTTCTCTTAAACTCAATATCTGATCCATCAGCACGGTCAGAATCCAATCATCATTTCTCACCAATTTTACCATTACAACTCCATCCAAACTACCAGCATCTCTCACCTGGATCATTGCAATATTCTCCTAACTGGCAGCCAGAGGGAGCCTTTGAAAATGGATGCCAGATCATGTCCCTCCACTGCTCAAAACCCTACAAGGACTT